TTTTTGCCCCACTGTATGTGGTCACTGATGATCACCAGGTTCTAGAATGGACTGGTTGCAAAAGGTTCCGCAGGGGCTGGCTTTCTGCCTGGGCTGCCCAATGCTAAGATGCAAGCAAAACAGGCCAATCAGGAAAGCTCTTATAGGGCAAATGCTGTTCTTATTTTCATTCTTGATCACCAGGGACACTTTTTGGCAAATCTAGGAAGTGATGCAGCTGGCAGAACCTGTACACGAGGACGCTAGGACAGGAAGAGCTTGTAGGAAACAAAAATGGTCTCCTGTCTTTGCCAAGGTAGAATATTGGTCATGATGCACTCACAACAGGCAGTGTCTTTCAGAAACACGCGGCATGGGGACCTGGTGGGTTCCGAGAGAGGCTGCAGGTTTCATGATGGTGTATGCACAGCCCGACTCTCTTTCCCGTGGATGTCCGGAGCTGTGAAGGCGAGTGTCTTTCTCTCTCTCGCCATGGGGGGATGGTGGCTGGTGTATGGGGGGCAGTGGTAGTGGAAGGCTCTCTCGGTTGGGAGTCAGGGGTGTTGTTGGTCAATGCCAGGCTCTCTGCTGGGGGGGGGGGGGGGGGGGGCAGATTTTTGTGTTGCCTAGGGCAGCACAAAACCTTAATACACCACTGGCCCTGATGGCTGATAAATAGTATGCTGTGCTCAGTATGGCCTCTGTAATATCACTTGATAAAAATTCCACTTAGGTAGAAGTATAATATAAAATATAGCACCAGTTCTCTGCTACTTTGAAAAGTCTATGCACCGTGTAATAGCCATTGCAGCCGCCATAATTATATTAACATTATTAAAAAAAAAAAAAAAAAATTACAAAATATTTCCCAGATGTAACAACACAGGAACACAATTCGATTTGGACCATGCAATTTGCAAGTTTTTTTTGTTTTTTGCAAATGTAGCAAATCTTATAAAAATATTACAATATACATATTTGTTTCCTAGATCCTCTTGACTTTTACCTTCCGTCTTGCTGTGGTTTATCTGAAAGTGGAAAAGAAAGAAACATTTTGAATACTTGTCATGCAAGGCTTTGAAAGAGTATGACGTGGAAGTGCATTGGGATTCAGGAATGGCGCCTAGCAATTTTATTATGAAAATGTACGTCTTAAGGATCCATGGTTCTTTATTGGTTCTTTGTTGCTGATACTTTGGCTACAATCACACTAGCTTTGTCAGCAGGCATCAGACAGGCGTTTGGGAAGCGTTTTTAACGCTTCTCAAACATCTATGAAAATTCTGCACATGGCAGCAGTGCTGTTCACACTGAAGCGTTAGCGTCGCGTCACGTTGCGTCGCGGCAAAACTGACGCCTCATGTCGAGTCAGGAGGAGTTGAAGCCTCCCATTCAAGTCTATGGTGCCGCTCCTCAAATGCGGAGGCGTTTGTGGATTGTTAATACCATTTAACTTCATTATAGGCGTTTGTGGTGCGGTTTTAACGTTTGGCAAACGCCTATAAAACGCACATAGGGCGTTTGGGGAGCATTTGTGGACCCTTAAAAACGCTTCCCAAATGCCTGTCTAACGCTATAGGGGCGTTTGGCAAGAGTTAGAAATAAGTCGTGTGAACGAGCCCTTTGACAGTGTCAGGAAAGGCCTGCCCATAGTGCATGCGAAGATCCGCGGCGCACAAATATGCGCATGCGCAGAGTTATTACGAACCGGGCAGATGTGCGGGTGCTTGGGCATAGGTGCGCATGCGCACTCGCGCATCCAGCTGCACGCCTGTCATTAATGCTGGTGCCAAAGGGACTATTTAAACTGGCTGCGGTAAATGTCTCATTGCCGTTTGGTCTTATCCCTGCTCATGTTTCCTGATTCCTGAGATTGATTCCTGATACCGAACCAGCTTGTTCTTGACCTCCGCTTGACCGCTACCTGCCCTGACCTATGGCTTGCCTTGGATTATCCTTCTGTCTCCGCTCCTGTCTGATTGATCTTCCACTGCTGACCTGGCCAGTGACCCGACTACTCTTCTTCCTGCCATTTATGCCTGATCTGCATCCTCAAAATGCACCTCTCAGTGATCCATCCAGCAGGGCTGCATCTGGATCCTGTCTTCAGCCTGTCCTGCAGCTCACCTACCTACCAGCTACTGCTGGCTCACAAGTAAACACACTATAATCACCTACCTACCAGCTACTACTGAACTGATCCCAGGCACTCATACCCCACCGTGCCCCTGCGGCCGTTGTCCCACCATCAGCAGTCCTTGAGCCCTTCCTCTTCACATCAGGCTCACTATCCAGGTACGTGACAGACAGCAAGAAACCAGATGTAGTCAATGCGTTTTGAAGGCCAAAAGGTTCCACTTCACTAGTATGTTGCCATGGCCATTGTAGTGATTTATAGCATACACATATGGAATAATACATTTTGGTACTTACTTTCAATAAAAATCTATTTTAAAGAATAAGAAAACATGCCATAAATCAAAAACCATTCAACACAAATGGCACAGTATGGGGGAGGGAGGGTACAGGGAGTCAGGAGGGCACAATACTGGAATCAGGAGGGCACAGTACAGAGAAAGTCAGGAGGGCACAATACTGGAATCAGGAGGGCACAGAACAGGGGGGCAGGAGGGCACAATACTGGAATCAGGAGGGCACAGTACAGGGGGAGTCAGGCAGAATACTGGAATCAGGAGGGCACAGTACAGAGAAAGTCAGGAGGGCACAATACTGGAATCAGGAGGGCACAGAACAGGGGGGAGTCAGGAGGGCAGAATACTGGAATCAGGAGGGCACAGAACAGGGGGAGTCAGGGGGGGCACAATACTGGAATCAGGAGGGCACAGAAAAGGGGGAGTCAGGAGGGCACAATACTGGAATCAGGAGGGCACAGTACAGGGGGAGTCAGGGGGGGCACAATATTGGAATCAGGAGGGCACAGAACAGGGGGAGTCAGGGGGGCATAATACTGGAATCAGGAGGGCACAGAACAGGGGGAGTCAGGAGGGCACAATACTGGGATCAGGAGGGCACAGTACAGGGGGAGTCAGGAGGGCACAATACTGGGATCAGGAGGGCACAGTACAGGGGGAGTCAGGGGGGCACAATACTGGAATCAGGAGGGCACAGTACAGGGGGAGTCAGGGGGGCACAATACTGGAATCAGGAGGGCACAGAACAGGGGGAGTCAGGAGGGCACAATACTGGAATCAGGAGGGCACAGAAAAGGGGGAGTCAGGAGGGCACAATACTGGAATCAGGAGGGCATAGTACAGGGGGGGTCAGGGGGGCACAATACTGGAATCAGGAGGGCACAGAACAGGGGGAGTCAGGAGGGCGCAATACTGGAATCAGGAGGGCACAGTACAGTTTCTAGGATACTGCCTGGGCCATCCCGGGACAGCTTAGTAAAAAGAGTGACTGTCCAGGCAAATCCGGGACAGTTGGCAAGTATGATGTAATGCAAGACTATCATGGGGCCCCGGTGCACCTGGAGCCCCTGGGCAGCGCCCATGCATTAAGAAAGCCCTGATCTTAAATAATCCTAATCTTAAATAGTGATTATTTAAATAGTAATTTGATGCTAAACTCTCTCAATCAACATTGACTATTTGGAATCCTTATGCTGCTAGCATTAGTAAATAGATAGGAAAGTATATCATATTTACTTGTTTTAAACAGTTTTTTACATTTCTCCTGCCTGCATGAACTGAGCAGTCTTGCAGACAGTAGCGGGCGGTGCTGATCAAGCGAAGAAAATCCGACAAGCTGGTTGTACAGATATTGATCAGTATTGTCTGTAAGCAGAGGTCATATGATGAGAAAAGAAGAAGCAGCACAAGCAGCATCAGTAGATTGACATCTGTACAACCAGTGTGCCTATACATGGATTGAAAATTTGTCTAGTCTCTGCTGAACCTGCCCAATTTTGATCCATGTATGGCCGGCTTAAAGTTCATATCAATAACATGCAATACAGAAAAGCCAGCAAATATGATTGTGTTTCTATCAAGTTCTGTATACTTTCTAATTAGTTTTGCCATTTCACTGAATCATTACCAGGTATAAACAAAAGTTGAATCTACCTGACAAAGCCCCTTTAATAACAAGCGTTCTCCACTATTGTAATGATATATGGAGCCTTATGCCGGCCATACATGGGTCGAAATTCATCCGATTTTTCGTCCCCGAAAATCGGACCCAAGAATAATCGGCTGATTTTTGCTCTGTTACTGGGTCAATGGCACCGGCCGATTTTTGTGGTTCTTCCCCTTTTCGGTGATCGGGCATGTTGGAAAATTTGTGAAAAACGACCGATTTTCGACTCAATGATAGTCAAATCGTACAACTGGTTTTCTGAAAAGAATATGCGCATGAGCCGTGACCTGGAAGGAACAAAAGCTTTGCCTGTTATATGGGGTGAACTTTATGACTTGGTTGGCCGATTTTCGAAATCATTGATGGCACCATCAGATTACAGAGGGAACGACGTTTTCGATTTTCGGACTAAAAATCGTTTGGAATTCGACCCATGTATGGCCTGCATCAGGGGCGGACTGACTCATGGGGCCCCTGGGCAATAGAGGATCATGGGGCCCCTGTGTCCTTGCCCAAACTCAAAAAAGCCTATGAAAAGGGTACCAGGGGCATCTCATGGGGCCCCCTACTGACCCCGAGCCCTCAGGCAGTGCCCGAGTTTCCAAATGGTCAGTCCACCCCTGGTCCTCAATGAACTATCATGGTGCTGTGGAGCGCTGTGGTAGTTCATTGAATCTTCCTGTCAGTATATCTGCTTGCCCTTTCATCCCGCATGAGCAAGTAGATATACTGACAGGTCTGCAGGAGCCCTGCATGGCACCAGCGATCTGCTCATCGCTGGTGCAGTGCTTTATAGGCCCCTACAGACAAAAATAATAAATGCACATTACCAGGGGCATCTCATGGGGCCCCCTACTGATTCCGGGCCCTCGGGCAGTGCCTGAGTTTCCAAATGGTCAGTCCGCCCCTGGCCTGCATAAGTGTTATAACATACCTTCTGCTTTCCTGTGTACACAGCGTAGCTCACATTGCTCCTTCTCGTCAAATCGGTTCAGGTTTCCACCACAGCCACTGTACACAAACAGGCGACACTCTCTCACTAGGTGGTTATAATACCATTTTAGTGTGTACTTTTTGCATTCTCCCTCTTGCATGGGGAAGCTGCATATATCTAGAGAAAATAACAGACATATCAGCATATAACAAAACAATAAAAACTACTATAGGTTAAAATGTTGAAAAAATACATTTGTATGCTTTACATAGGGACGTTTTTGTACTATACACCTTACCATGTGCTGATGTATCTCTCTTACTCCGTAGGCTTGCTTCTGATATTGTTGGTATGGTAGTGTCTATAAGTCCAAAAACAGTTGGATTATGGTTGCAAGGAGAATAAAATACAATTAGAAGACACAGTGGGAAGGAAGGAAGGAAGGATGGAAAGAAGACAGGCATACATGTGGGAAAAAAGAAAGGAAGGAAGAAAAGATAAAAGAAGGAAAGAAATGAAAGGAAGGAGGAAGACAGGCATACATGTGGGAGAAAAGGAAGAAGAAGAAAAAAAAAAGAAAAGATAAAAGAAGGAAAGAAAAGATAAAGGAAGGAAAGAAAAGGAAGGAAGGTGGAAGACAGGCATACATGTGGGAGAAAAGGAAGGAAGAAAAAAAAGATAAAAGAAGGAAAGAAATGAAACGAAGAAGGAAGGAGGAAGACAGGCATACATGTGGGAGAAAAGGAAGGAAGAAAGAAAAGATAAAAAGAAAAGAAAAGATAAAGGAAGGAAAGAAAAGGAAGGAAGGCGGAAGACAGGCATACATGTGGGGAGAAAAGGAAGGAAGAAAAAAAAGATAAAAGAAGGAAAGAAAAGAAACGAAGAAGGAAGGAGGAAGACAGGCATACATGTGGGAGAAAAGGAAGGAAGAAAGAAAAGATAAAAGAAGGAAAGAAAAGAAACGAAGGAGGAAGACAGGCATACATGTGGGAGAAAAGGAAGGAAGAAAGAAAAGATAAAAGAAGGAAAGAAAAGAAAGGAAGCCAGGCATACATGTGGAGAAAAGGAAGGAAGAAAGAAAAGAACAAGAAGAAAGGAAGGAAGGCAGGCATACATATGGGGGAAAAAGAAAGAAAAGATAAAAGAAGGAAAGAAAAGAAGAAGGATGGCAGGTATACATAAAATATGGGAAAAGGAAGGAAAGTAATGAATAAAGAAAGGTAGGATTGGGGGAGGAAAAAGGAAAGGATGCTGTAAGGTGGCAAGATGTATGGGAGTTATTATAGATAGACAGATAATAGACTCTGACCATCTTTCAGTATGGTGCTTTCTGTGCCATCTTCATCCATGTCTTTGTAATCCTCCACCGTGTAAATGTGTTCATAATCTGGATCATTGGTGTTCATCACCACCCTAAGTTCTCGTCCTGGAGGAGATCATAAGAGGCAGTGATAAGAACCATTCAACAAGTCCCGGGCTGAAATTTAGGCTGATCTGCAGCATGAAAAGCTCAAGCAGCAGAGAAATAGCTGATCAAGCTCAAGAAGTAAGTAGAGAGTCAGCAGGGACAGCATAGGTCAAGCAAAACACGAAACCAATTTTAGGACTAACTAGAGAACACAAAAAAATATGAAATGGAAAATTTGTTGACCACAGACAGGAACATCTAAAGAAGAAAGGTGATCTGGCATTTGACTCTGAAAAAAACATGAAGACCTTTTTATGCCAGAATGATAAGTTAGGATCCTCATAAGAAGCAAAGTACAGGTATCAAGGAAAAGGAACAAAAATGGGTGAGAGTATAGTTGAAAAGAAGAAGATCCACCAACATGTACCTTTAAGCAGATTGAGCTGAAGATAGCTCATGCTCAGGAGAGTAGAGACATGCCACCTTAGACTATATGAGTGCACAGAACACGTAGCATAGTTAGCCTACATCACTTAGTAAAAGAAACAGGCCTAAGCCAAGACACACACAAGCACAGTAAATCCTACATTGCCCCACATATTATATCCAGCAGTTACCCACAAATCACCATCATCTCCAAAATCTCACCCAGCAGTGACAAGCAGAGCACACCTGGGGGAGACCCATAAATAAGCCCACCATAGTGCAATGAGTTATATTCAGCAGCGTTCCATAAATATTCCAGCATAGACATAAATAATACCCAGCAGGTTTCTGCTTTTTTTTTTTTTTATCCTGCAGGTAACCAATAAAATGCAAGCCATCCAGTGGTGACCCATGAATATTGCCCACGTTCATAAGGGACCATCAAGGTAGGAGCAAGAGTAGCAAGAAATCATAAAGTGCAAAGCCATAAACTTCTTTCAGATAAAAGGAGAACAGGGACTAAGACAGGAATACAGTTGACATTTAAAGACACAGACAAAACGTAGACTCCTACTTATGAAACAAAGAAAGCGTCGACCTTCTATTAACAAGCAACATTAGCAACCTTACAGCACCATACACTGAAGGCACACGTCTTTGACAGAGGCTGTAATGACTAACAGCATACTGAGACAATCGAGCCTGGACAAAGAACGATGGAGTAATGGATTTTTAAGCGGAAGGCTACCCAAAACTGATATTTCAGTCACCATTCACCAAGGTTGCTTGAAGTGGAAGACTCATGGAGTAGCGACTTTTGATAGATAATAACTACAGTGGGGATCTAAAGTTTGGGCACCCCAGCTAAAAATTTGTATTAATGTGCATAAAGAAGCCAAGGAAAGATGGAAAAATCTCCAAAAGGCATCAAATTACAGATTAGACATTCTTATATGTCAACAAAAGTTAGATTTTATTTCCATCATTTACACTTTTAAAATAACAGAAAACAAAAAAATGGCGTCTGCAAAAGTTTGGGCACCCTGCAAAGTTAATATCTTGTACTGCCCCCTTTGGCAAGTATCACAGCTTGTAAACGCTTTTTCTAGCCAGCCAAGAGTCTTTCAATTCTTGTTTGAGGTATCTTTGCCCATTCTTCCTTACAAAAGTCTTCCAGTTCTTTGAGATTTCTGGGCTGTCTGTCACGCACTGCTCTTTTAAGGTCTATCCATAGATTTTCAATTATGTTGAGGTCAGGAGATTGTGAAGGCCATGGCAAAACCTTCAGTTTAAGCCTCTTGATGTAATCCCCCGTGGATTTCGAGGTGTGTTTAGGATCATTATCCATTTGTAGAAGCCATCCTCTCTTTAACTTCAGCTTTTTCACAGATGGCATCAAGTTACCATCCAAAATTTGCTGAAATTATATTGAATCCATTTTTCCTTCTACTCATGAGATGTTCCCTGTGCCACTGGCTGCAACACAACCCCAAAGCATGATTGATCCAACCCCATGCTTAACAGTTGGACAGAGATTCTTTTCATTAAATTCTGTGCCCCTTCTTCTCCAAACGTACCTTTGCTCATTCCGGCCCAAAAGTTCAATTTTAACCTCATCGGTCCACAGAACTTGTTTCCAAAATGCATCAGGCTTGTCTATATGTTCATTTGCAAAGTTCAAACGATGATTTTTTGTGGTGAGGACGTAGAAGAGGTTTTCTTCTGATGACTCTTCCATGAAGACCATATTTGTACAAGTATCTCTTTATAGTGGAATAGTGTACCACAACTCCAGTGTCTGCCAGATCTTTCTGGAGGGATAGTGCAGTCAAACGTGGGTTTTTGAATTGTTTTTCTCACAATCCTGCGAGCTGTTCTGTCTGATATTTTTCTTGGTCTTCCAGATCTTGCTTTAACTTCCACTGTTCCTGATGACTGCCATTTCTTAATTACATTCCGAACAGAGGATACTGACATCTGAAAACGCTTTGCTATCTTCTTATAGCCTTCTCCAGCTTTGTAAGCGTCAACTATTTTTTTTCAGTTTCAGTTTTCTAGACAACTGCTTAGAAGAACCCATGGTGCTGATTGTTGGGGCAAGGTCAGATGAGTCTGGGCATTTAAAACCTTTGAGATTGACATTACCTGGTCTTCCCAGACGATGATTGAGAACAATCCATGACACTGGCAGGTCTCAGCTTTGCAAAGGGGGCAGTGCATGCTATAAATTCTGCAGGGTGCCCAAACTTTTGCAGACGCCATTTTTGTTTTCTGTTATTTTGAAAGTGTAAATGATGGAAATAAAATCTAACTTTTGTTGACATATTATAAGAATGTCTAATCTGTAATTTGATGCCTTTTGGAGATTTTTCCATCTTTCCTTGGCTTCTTTATGCACATTAATACAAATTTGTAGCTGGGGTGCCCAAACCTTCGATCCCCACTGTATGTGCCTTTGGTGGCAAAACTGTACTGGTGGTATCCCAACAAAGCATCTAGGTGATGTGTGGGCTTCTCCCATGCCACAGTAACCTCGGAATCTGAAAGTATTATTTGAATCTAAAGACTGAAGTGCCTAAAATGTTGGAGTCCAAAATAAGGTTTTATTCAAAACATATAATAAGTGCTACAACCATCATGTTTTGGGGACCACTCATCTTCTTTACCAGAGCTTAAAATATATGGAATCTGCTGGTATGGACTCAAAAATGTTAATTAGACCCGATACTGAGAGAACGGTAACATTCACCCATTGCTGTTACCAAGTTCTCTCAATACAGAGTCTAATAAACTGTTTTGAGTCCCTTAAATGCATTGAAAGTAGCACCTATTATACATTTGGAATAAAACCTTATCTGGAACCAAACTGGCTGCACGTGTCTAAAACTGAAATGTCTGTTTTGGGTAGACTCACAGAAACAGGTTTTTATACACTTGAAAACAATAAACTGTAAGCATGATAAAAGGGCATAAACAGAAGCAAAGCATACATTAGGTATTGCATGGAAAAGAATAGAATTATGCCAGCATGCCCAAAGACGATAATATATATTCAAGCTTCTCTGCTTTGATTACTGCTTTGACCTATTTTTGTTCCTCTAAAATTGGGACAGTGTTGTGGGTCTTCAATGTGTATTCTCCAAATATCTAGAAGGCTTACTCTAATATCTCTGCAGACTTACTACAGCTGAAATGTATTTTCGAGCAGGTGCAACTTGCCCTTTCCCATTCTCGATCCCGTCTGCCATACAGTGAATACACAACACATAGCTGGGAGAGCGGATCCGTCAACGTCATCATAAGGTCAATGGGCAAGAAACAACTTG